GGCGCCGACATCCACAGGGGGCGCCACAAGCACAGGAGGGGAAGTGGCCGGAATGCACAGGCAGTGTTTGGCTGCAGATTTCACATCGGTTTATGCATTATGAAGAGAGTAAAATAGTGTGGGGAAAAAGACAGCGGTACGGTAACGCTAATGCGATGGAAGTCATTAGATTAAGCAGGTTGTCGCCGGCGTTATAACAGAGAAACGGCCCGCTACGCTGCTGCCTGAAAACAGTACGCTGCAAATTGGGCCGATACGTTGTTTTCGAGGAACACGATCATTGCTCCACGGTGATTGTACGCGGCTAACTGACGTGTATCCAGGCTAATATTTATCAACAAGCACTGATGCAGTTTCTCTACTGTTAGCAGCAAAGACGCTACATTAGCGTCTTAGCTGCTACCGCTAGCAGCGAAGACATTAGCAGACCACGGTAGAGAAACTGCATCGGCGCTTGTGGGTAAATATTTGCCTGAATACACGTCAGTTAGCCAGGAAGTGTCGCTAAGACACCCCCGCTACGCTGTCAAACATTTCTGGTGAGAACCGTGTCAGGTTAACGGATCGTAGTTCCTGTTGTCAGAGCAATGCTAACTTGCTAGCTTATCTAGGACGATAGCAGTGTTGTGTATAATCACTAAATAGCCATAGCTGACTTAACATGCTGCCACCACCTTAAATGAATGAAGGATATTTAGAAAGTCAATATCAGGCCTGTTCAGGTGGTGTTTAACCTGCTGAATGTATTTCCCTGCTGTCTGATAAAATGCAGTTTTCCTTCCTCTTTATATGCTATAGGTGCTGAGTTTACTCCAGTAGGAAAGTGCAGTTAATAATCCATCCTTTAGTTTTCTCCATATTATAATAAATTACACACACACACACACGCGCGCGCGCACACACACACACACACACATAATATAAAGCGCTGCACAATGTTGGAACAAACTGACATTGCAGTTTCCTGATCTGTGTGTGGATGTGAGCTGGCAATAAACAAACCTTTGAGCTTTTTTAGCTCCACATCCTGAAATGAGAGCTTCATCATTAAACTCAGTAACTAACAATGAGTGACAAACATTTTTATTCAGCACCTGAAACCTTTTACAAAAAAACTAAACGTCGCTCTTTTGATCTAAAATGATTTAAAATGAAATGAGAGCAGCTCTACATCAGATCCCTCAGTGGTCTCTTGTTCTGTAGATAGTAGAACATGAACAAGCTGTAGAACTTTTTATATTTGTAGATGCCTTATTTATGTTGTATTTTTAATTTGGGTTTGTCCACAGTTCCCCTGGTGGCCCCACATGTGTTTGCCCACACGGGTTCCAAGTGGGTTCTGACTGGGATTCAG